TTATATTATTTATGAATATCTTAATATTATTTGCCTAATTGTGCATAAATGCTAATTGTCTAAATGTCTAAATGATTTATATTTATTATTTATAATGCGTAAATGTGTATTAATATAAATATGTAAAATATATATATATATTGTTCGATATATTTTTATCGTGCGTTTGAATTTATATCGAGCCCGAGAATTTTCGTTGGAACCGAAATTGGGCCCGAGCATGTCCGTTTGAATTTTAATCGGGCCCGTGAGCCGATTTATCGTCGCGAGCCGACTCGCGAGCCCAAAAACCGGCCCAACAAGAATATTTTCTCCCTTCTCTTTTGTTCTTTTTTTCACGTGATTTTTGTGTGGGATTTAAAGTCTTAGGCAACAAGACTTGTTCTTAACCTAATAGCAATTATATATGTCGGCATCGTTTTTCCTTTGGATAAATCCCACACCCGCAGCTTTTGTAATTTCTCAAGTTTGTTCCCGATCTCATTTCTCTCTCCTTGCAACTTCATCGTCCATCTTCTTCGTGATCCCTCATCATCATCCTCGTGAACCCATCATCTCCTTCACCCTCCTCGCCATCACCACCATCGTTCTCATACCATCATCATCGCTCGTCCATCATCATCCTCGTCGCCATCTCCTCCCCGCAAAAACCAGCAGCCCGCGACCAGCCCTCCGGCGACCCTTTGTTCGAGTTTTCCGGCGAGTTCGAACAGCCCACGAGCCTAGACGATGAGGACCTTCCGCTGTTCGTGAGATTTTTCCGGCGACCTTCCATTTGCAGCAGCCCAGCGACCGCCGCTGCTCCGCCCATCGCGTGTTCAGGCCACCGCGAACAGCCACTCTCGAAGCCGCTGCAGCATCTTCTCCTTCCGGCGAGACGCGAGAATCCGTCGAGCCCCGTTCGTGTTCGTTTCGTTTTCCGAGTTTTTCCCGAGAACGGTATCTCGTCGTTTTTCCGTCTCGTTTAGCTCGTATATGATTTATGTGTTTATTGTCGTGAAGTGCTCGTTGAACAATGAAATATATGTGTGAATTTCTTGATGTGAATATGTGCGTTTATGTACTATTATGATTTTATGTGTTATCGTATGTTCGGGACCTCTTCGATTTTCTCAAAAATCGAACGAGGCCTCGAAAGTCGTGTAAGTCGGTGGATATTGGAACAATGTCGAGCCCTTGGTCTTATGAAAAGGCCTCGGACGAGAAATTTCATGTTTGGAATTAATTGACAAGTTGTTGAGCATTTGTATCGCTGTTTTGGTGCTTGAATTTTTAAAAATAGCTCGCTGCTCGAAACGATTTGAAAATTTGAGGGTGATGTTGTCTGTTCAATACCAGCATTATGTAAAACTTTCGTGATTTGTAGAAGCCTTTTGCTATTTTTAATAATTAAATTTAAATCTGATCGGAATAGTGTTAAATGCATAACAAATTTATTCGTGAATCAAATGAGCTGAAATTCGAATATGTCATGCCTCCGTGACTTTTATATGTTGTGTTAAAGTTTTAGAATTTTTGGACTTGATTTGATGTGGTTAAAAATTTATTTATCAAATCTGCTGAAGCGTTGTTTGAATTTTTATAAATTGGTTATTTCGTGAAAAATTCTGAAATTTTACTGAGATGCCTATTTTATGTGTTAAATCATGTTTGTAAAAGATGGGAATTTTTGGAGTCCATTTTGATTCGGTTTTGATTTAAATTCGATAAACTGCTGATGCTCGTATGAATTTTTAAAAATAGTAGCAGTCGACATTCAGAACTGATATTTTTATACATAGACTTTAGCATGTTGTATGTTGTTGTGTAAAATTTTCAAGTTCTGATTCGTTAATTAAGTTCAAGTATGAATTTATGTTCCCTTTTTGTTGATATCTTGTTCGAATTTTATAAAATAGTGTATTTCCTGTTTGAAGCTGAAAATTTTTGGTTTTACATGTTTCTGGGAGATGTAATTTTGTGTAAATTTTCAGAGCCTAAGTCATAAGGTAGCTTGACCATTTATTTTTCATGCGATTAATGATTGCTATTTTTCGAACCATGATTTTTATATAAAAATTTGGAATCGATTTGCTTTTCGTTTTGATGTGAGTTTGACTTGGTCAATCCTTGGATGGATTTTTGTGAACTCCCTTATGTGGTTTGGTCGAGTTTAGTGCCGAGTCTTAGTGTTCCAACATCCACAGGACTTCACGAACTACTTAGTCGAAACAAAGTTCGACTAGGTCTGTCTTGTGATTTCCGATTTAAGTCAAGATAGATATTGATTGTAGGATCTTGACATAATGTAGGTGTCTAGAGGTGTTGACCTCGCCTCATTTCGGGATTTGTGATTGTGAACTGTTGCTGCTATCAGGTGGGTACATTTATAATGTATTCCATATTTATCGCACTTCTTATTTCGTGTAATGTTTCTTTTGAAAATTATTGTATGCATGAGAACTCTAGTCTAAGTGTTCCGAACGATAGTGCCTTTGATGAATGCATAACAGTGAGAGGTCACATGCCCGTTGTATCCGGGAGGAGACACCCTGATCCGTGTGTGTTTCGGGGGGGAGAAACATCTCCACTGTCTCCTGGAAAACATCCATGATCTGTGAGTAGTTCCGGGTGGACTCCCATGATCCGTGAGTAGTTCGAGGTGGGGGAAATTTTCCAGTTACATCCATGCCGTTGTATCCGGCAGGTTGTTGTATGTACATAGGAGGTTTGCGATAGGGCCAGTAGGGGGTTTAGGCTATAGATTCTATGCATACGGATACTTATATTGGTTTACTGTGATACTGCTTTTTAAAATAACTATACGAGATAACTGTGCGATAATGGTGAGCTAGTTGGTTGCTCACCCCCATTATTTTCTTTGTTGTCTTCTCTCTTCCTTTGTTCTAGGTTGAGACGAGCTGGAGGCGGTGGCGTAAGACGAGCGAGATGGTGGTCATTATGTGTTGAAATCTTATGCTTCCGCATGAACTTGCTATTTATTCATTTGTTATCGCACTTTGGATTATTTTATTTCTTCATTTTCGAACTATGTTGAATTTCGTTTGAACCTTGATTTCATGCTAGACGTTTGGGAATGATTTGGAAATTTATGACTTATGAGATTGTCAATTTGATAGCTCGAGCATGTGTAGGTTCATTGGATTGTTTGATTGAGTGTGTTTATTTGTTGTGGTTAATAAGTAGCGCCCGTTTCTCGATAAATGTTTTAACTTGGAATTTAAAAAGAAAAATACTTTGATTTTTATTAAATAAATTCGGTAAATTCTTTAAAATAAAACGGGGCGTTACAACTACTTTTTCCAACTGTGCTCATCCCCACCTGAAATTCACGTTTCAGGTTAAGCGAGGCAGGTGCGACGGCGGAGTTAGGCGAGTGGTGGTCGGTCTATAAGACTGGTCCTATTATTGTTTATGCTTCCGCATTAAGAACTTGGAATAATATTGCTTTTATGAATTCTGGATTTTATGATTGAATAATGATAAGGAGATGTTCCTTAGAACTTATGAGTATTATTGAAACCCGGTTTTGGTAATGACTTATGCTTTTGGAAAAACCCGTTTGGGAGTTAGTAATTATTGATGATTGATGATTGATAATTAATGATTGATGATTGATAATGATTCGTGTCCCCTTACTGCTGAGTCATGACAAGATTCCTTCTTATCCATTGGAGGATAGAAGAGTTCAAGAGATATCACAAGTGTATCAAGTCGTCAGTGTGTTTCGCGTCTCGAGACGCAAGGAGTCGACCTCGAGTGCCAGGAGGTCGACTTCGGATTTTCTGCATATTCAGAGGCTACGCTATTGTTGCTCTTCTTAGATGGATGTCGACTATTGGGGAGTCGACTGTATGGGGTCAACTTCTACGAGTCGACTTGTATGGGTTCCGCCTTCTCTCGCAGTCATTCCATGAAGAGTCGACTTTGCGGAAGTCGACTAGAATATGTCCATGGGAATATGTCGTCATGTGGACGGTTTGAGTTGTTATCCGGTCGAGTAAAGAATTTTTGGGCCAGTATATCTTTATATGGCTATATCAGCAGGCATGACAGCGAGGGAACGAGTGGCTGGTCCTTTGGTTATGGTTATTTGCTTCCGCATTCCGTTCTATGAACATGTTAATTTGGTCTTATGAACCTGTTGCTTTGGTTTCTTAGACATGTTAAATTGCTTTTAAACTTGTGTTTCGAAAATGTTGGGATTCTGGATCATTTTGGAACCCTATGATTTGGTTCGTTTCATTTTCAAACATGTTGATTTGGATATCCATGTTTATGTGCTTCTTGAATATCATGTTGAATTTGGTTATTCATGCTGATGTGTTATGCTGAATATCATGTTGATGTGTGTTAGTTTTGGATATTGAAATCCATGTGAAAAATAGGGAAATGAATCTCGATGAGTTCAGATATGAATTGAACTATGTTGTAAAATAATCCTTGATAATGCCCATGTTTATGTTGAATTGAAAAAATAAATTTCAAAAATTTATTGTGATTTTTGGAAAAGCCATGAATTTTCTTTAAAATTAAAGTGGAGCGTCACATGAAATCCCAGCACTGTCGGACAATTTAAGATCAAAACTACCAAGGAACCACACTAGCTTGTAAGCCTGGAGGTGGCTTACCAATTTTGCAACTAGTGTTTCAGGAGAATCATGAGAGACTAACACCAAATACAACACAATATGTTGTGACGTACATTGTTGCAAAGAATGCTCGATCAACCTCCAACAGTTGAGGTGGCCACCACAAAATAAAATTATTGTAATGCAATGCCCATGGAAACCAGAAGAATTTGCAAGCTATTACATTTATATGAATATAGCCTACAATAACAAACAAGCATATCAAAAAAACGGTTCACAATCTTCAACTCAGACAATGGTTTCGGTATTCATGAAATTCCACCAATAACTTACTATAAGTTTTGCTTTCCTCCATTGGCTTTTAAATTCATCAGCGAAAAATACACCTCGTAGTAAAAATAGAAATAAAAAAAATATATATATATATATATAAAGAAAAACACATCTCCCAGCCATAATTTACCCTCAACATAACCAACGAATATATTAAAACCTTTTCATTACCAGGCAGTCCCCTAATAATTCTCTTGTCAGTCATATGTGCATGAGTTCTTGAGGGATATTGGAACATTGAGTTCCTTTGCATCAAAAGTAATGGAGCACACAATCTTCTTGTAGAATTTAGGTTTCACCAATTTACCCAAAACATATGCTCTTGATCGAACCCTGAATTCCATATTTAACGGTATAGGCAAATTTGTGATCCCTGTTGGTGTGCTCAAAGCAGCTCCACTTCCATACAGTGGAATCTTGTCGCCAATTATTATTACGGAAACATTTCTGTGGCTCTCTCTCTTTTGGTAGAATTTTTTCATCTGGAACATGCAATTCCGAAAAGTTATTCAATAGCCAAAAAGTAGAGGGTTAATTAAAATAACTAACCTTTAGTGTTTGCTTAATTACAAAGAAACTCAATTATCTTCAGCTACAACGAAAAAAAAGATGAACTTTGATTTTTTGCACCCACAATATGTATATTTCTTGGTAAACGCATATCTCAATAGGATATTTGTTATAATAAAGATGTTAGTTTCACACTTGGTGGTTTTTATGGCCAAACCTTAAGGTACCCAATCACGAAGGCAAGCCTAATCAAGGAACAGACATTATGTACAAAAATTAATATAGAATTGCTTATCAATACGCACGGTATGCTGAATTCACAATGCGCGGACCTCATTAGGAATTGGGTACCCCAACCTCAATTTTGTTGAAAAGACAACTGAAGGGTTGTTCTCAATATCATTATTTAAGTTGGTTCTTATGAATTCAGGGTTTTCTATAGATTATCAGGACATGGTGACCACACTAGATATAGTAAACAATAATTCTGATAAATGACACTATTGAACTTACATCGCCAGAGCCAATGTTGAGTTGCGAGTAGGAGAGAGCTAAGGGCGTAGATGAAACATGAACCCCAAAAAATGTAGCCGTATTTCGGAAAGTGAACTTCACAGTGGCATTGATGGATATCATATCAGTTGAAACTCCACTATCATCAGAACCAGCTTGAACCACAAACCTCTCGAATTTAACACTCTGGCATTGAAACAACATCAAATTAGACTTTAGCATTTCACAACAATAGAAATCAAGTCAATTGTTTAACTAACTCACAACCAACAGAAACCAATATCCCCAACACTGGAGACAATTTCATCAAATTCAGATCAAATAACATAGTGGCTAAAGGCAGTGCTTCAAAACACAACCAGCGAAGGTTAAAATATATGTATGTAAAAAGAAGCAACCAATAGCACAACGTAAGTAGCAATTGACTGTGAGATCCGAATTGTACGGATAACTAGACAAAGCAACAGACAGAGTTAGCCAAACCAAATTTGCTTGTTTCAACATGAAACCCAAAAGTAATGAAAGAATTTAATGTGCTATTAAGTATCAAAACTCACCCGCACACTGATAATGGGTTTCTGGGGTTTACTGGCGCCGTACAGAATCAAAGCAAATAAGGAGAAAAGTGCAAAGAAAGAGACGGCAAAAGCCAGAATATAGCATCTGCGGGGCAACCCTTGACGCGACCCTTCATCCTCGAGCAGCCCTTCCTCTTCTATCACATCGAACTCTTTCCAGTTATCTTGTCCGCCCTTCCTGTGGCCTCTGCCCCCGGATCCGACGTTGTTCGGGTTGATCTTCTTCGATCCGGGCTTGAGAGAGCCCGAGAAGCGGCTGGTTGAGGATTCCCTGGAGTGCTGGCCCACGGATGAATGGGAGTGCGGCGGCGAGCCCATTGGGCTTCCTATCGCCGGTGTCGAGTGGAACGACGCTGTGTTAGTCTTCTCCCCGTCGTGCGAGTCGCGCGAAGGGCTCTGCACGTAGTACACCGGCCGCCGGTTGTGATCCGGCGACGATGGAGCGAAGCTTGTCGCATCCGAGTCCGTCTTTGCGTGCATTTTCGATCTTCTATGTGTTTTGTCGGTGAGGAGCCAGTCTTTCCGATGTTCCTTCAGCCGGAGTAGCCGGAAAAGGTAAAGTGAGAAATGTTTCTATCTAGACTCTAGAGTTGTAGACTAGACGGCGAATGTGGCTTATACAATATATCGATTGATATTTATTCATTAAATCCACACTTTTATATACCGAAATGGCAAAACATTATTACTTGGTTTTACCAATCGAGGCACAAAATATATAAAAATAAAAATAATAATAATAATAATAAGGACAACTTCCTAAAAAATCCCCGAGTCCCTTTGTCAATTTCCTCCTTAGTCCCTAGACCTTTTTTTCTTCCTCCTAACTCCCTACCCCCATAATCATGTTCCACTTAAATCCCTAATGTTAAATTAAATCAAAAAGAAAACAAGTTATGACATCATCCTCACTGAAAGGTAATATTACTTATTATTTTATTATACATTTTTTTTTCCTTTATTTTATTTTGTTGGAGCTTCTTCCCCACACATCTCTCCTCTCTCCCGTCCCCCTCCATTCCCGCCGGCGACTTCTCCTCTCTCCGGCGACCGAAATCCAGCGAGAAGAACTCCGGCAACAACAAATTCGGCCAAACAAGTGATTCCGATGTCAAATTTGTGCGGCCAAAAATTCATTTTTTTCCGGCAACATTCGTGCTTTTTCCGGCCAAAATTTGAAGTAGTAAGTAATATATGTATTATATGAGCATTTTGGAGTCCAAAAATCATGTTTAATTCGTATATATTTGGTTAATTTTTTAAGGATTGAAGTTTGAAAATTGTTGTTCATATTTACCCTAAATCAATTAAATTGATCAAAATCTCTTATTTTTTGTTTATGTATACGAAATTGATGATATTGTTAGGTTATGTAATATGTTATTCACCCTAAAATAAGAAAATAAGGTGGGAATGATCACTGTACCACTATTATTGATTATTGTACTTCTGTTTGTATGTATATAGTACCACTTTAATATTGTTTTGTACCATATTTTCCTGGGAAATGTGAAGTTTTTTTTATTTATCCAATTATTGTTAGATACATGAAGGGACATAAAGTGATATACTAGGGAATTGTACGTACAAGAATGAATTGTTTGTGTTCTCTATGCATATTGGATCAACGTTTGACAAAGTGTACATTCTCATATCACAGAGGTGACCGAACGTTAATTTCGAATCCGTCGTGCTATGCTATATTACACCAAAGGAAAAAAAGAGAGTTAGTTTGTTGGATGATGAGGATGTGAAGAACATGATTCGGTTACATGTTTGTTGAAAAATAAATATTGTAGAGATAATTGCCATTGAAAGAAATGAAAGACCGGATGATGGAGTTCAATCCTTCCCGATGAACATGAGCAGGTATTGTTGCTTTCATAATATTAGTGAATTTATTATTAAAATATGGTATAGGCGTATCATATTCTAGTTCATTAATTTTTTAACTAGTTCCATTATTTATAAATCTTTGTATTATTTTGTCATGCACGCAGGGAAATCGCACCGTATGATGATTCTCGGAGGGAGAACATGAGTATTTGCAAGATAAATCGATCGATTCTTGGATATTTTGGCATGTGTCCTTTTGAGTCAGTTGCTTTTTTTCTTTTGCCGGAATATGTTTTTTGATGATACATTATTGACATATTCCGAGTATGTACTGTATGAATATTTTACGAGTACAAAGCATGATATAAAAGATGTTTCATTTTCATATGCATTTTCAATTCTGCATGAGTACTTAAGAACGTCAAACCAGATACTCTCCTTTTGCAATATAGGTACTAGTTTTATGGACATATGTTTGTACTCATTTTCATTCCAAAGAGTGGGTAGTAAATGACACTTTATGAGTAATATTTTTCATACAATATACTGGTATTTCATGCTGCAATATAGGTAATAGTTTTGTGAAGTATTAATCGGTGTATTACATTTTCATTCCAGAATGCTGGTACTATATGACTAATTTATAGTACTAAACTAACAAAACAGGTACAACACTACAGCATCACATGTACTAACATAACGCTCAATTTTTTTATTCTTCTTTTTTGCTCCTTTTTCGAGCCAAAGGCATATGGATTAAATTTGCGCATAAACAAATGCGGTCGCCTAGCGGCAGGATAGTAGAGGAGGCAGCCTTGAGGGTGTGGACTCGCCCAGACTCGGGTTCGAGTCTTCCTCTGCGCGATCCTTCCACCATTTTTTTGGCACTTATACTAAAATATAATTAGTACATGTTTTATCCAAAATAGTACTGCATCTTCTTCTATGTTGTACCTGTTTTTAAGCGATTAGTACCGACTTTGAATTTCAATAAGTGCAAAAAAAAATTGGTGGAAAGATCAGGCAGAGGGGGACCGAACCCGAGTCTCGGCGAGTCCACACCTTTAAGGCCACCTTATTTTACATCCTACCGCTAGGCAATCGCATTTACTTATGCGCAAATTTAATTCTTATGGCTCAAAATCGAGATTTATACGAACTTAGACTTAAGATTAATTTTTGAATTAACATTTTGTACTTGGAATTTCACCAATTTAATTTGGTGCTTAAAATACTAAATATAAGTACTTGGATTGAATTCTTGAGACTTAGAATAATTTACTTAATATTTACAAGTGGTACTGAAGACCCAATATCCGGTACTACAGTAATATAAAAGTGGTACTATCTTACTCTATGACTGGTACTACAATATGTAAATGTTAACCAAACTAGAAATAATCAATTTTTGTTCACAAAAGTAGGTACTAATAGATCAAAAAAAGGTATCTCCTAGAAGAAGACGAGGTACTATTTTAACTAAAACAGGTACTATTTTATGAATCGTGATTTCTCTAATCTTTCATGTCTACTATGACACGTGGATCGTTCACGCGTGATTTGGATGAAAAATAATGAAAGTTAAAACATATAGGTAGAATTTGAAGTAGTCATGTATGATGATTCTATGAGTTGAAGTGTGTCATTCAATGAAATGAAGCGTACTGATAGTGTTTTCTCATTATTGTGTCGAGTTCATGACTAATTTGCGATTAAACTCAATTTAAAACATTTTAAATCTCATTCAAACTAATGTGAGAGTGATTTTTGGTCATATAAACATCATTTGAGACCGAAATTCAGTGTTTTTATGTGTTCATTACAAGTGGTACTAAAGACCTGATATCTGGTACTAAAACACCTAAAGCTGGTACTATTCTATTTTAGGTCTGGTACCAATTATTGCATATGTTGAGCACAATTGAATAATCCATTTTCGTCGACCAAATGTTGGTACTAATTGATAAAAATAGGTACCGCGTAGAAGATGATGCGGTACTATATTGGCTAAAACACATACTATTTTAAGAATCATGATTTCTCTAATCCTTCATGTCTACCATGGTACGTGGATTGTTCACGCCTGATTTGGATGAAAAATAGTGAAAGTTAAAACATACAGGTAGAATTTGAAATAGTCATATATGATAATTCTATGAGATGAAGTGTGTCATTTAATGAAATGAAGTGTATTAGTAATGTTTTCTCATTAGTGTGTCGAGTTCATGACTATTTTACGATAAACTCAATTTAAAACATTTTAAATCTTATAGAAAATAATGTGAGAGTGATTATTGGTCATATAAACATCTATTAAGACTGAAATTCGGTGTTTTTATGTGATCATTACAATTGGTACTAAAGACCCGATATCTGGTACTAAAACATCAAAAGATGGTACTATCATACTCTAGGTTTGGTACCAATTATTGCAAATGTTGACCACAATTGAATAATCCATTTTCGCTGACCAAAAGTTGGTACTAATTGATCAAAAATAGGTACCACATACAAGAAGAAGCGGTACTATATTGGCTAAAACAGGTACTATTTTAAAAATAGTGATTTCTATAATCCTTCATGTCACTATGACACGTGGATCGTTTACATGTGATTTGAATGAAAAATAGTGGAAGTGAAAACATATAGGTAGAATTTGGAGTAGTCATGTATGATGATTCTTTGAGATGAAGTGTGACATTCAATGAAATGAAGTATATTAGTAGTGATTTCTCATTAGTGTGTCGAATTCATGACCATTTTACGATTAAACTCAATTTAAAACATTTTAAATCTCATAGAAAATAATGTGAGAGTGATTATTGGTCATATGAACATCATTTGAGACCGAAATTTAGTGTTTTTATGTGTTCATTACAAGTGGTACTAAAGACTGAATATTTGGTACTAAAACACTGAACGATGGTACTACCTTACTCTGGGTCTGGTACCAATTATTGCAAATGTTGACCACAATTGAATAATCTATTTTCATTGACCAAAAGTTGGTACTAATCGATCAAAAACAGGTACCCCGTAGAAGAAGATGCGGTACTATATTGGCTAATACAAGTACTATTTTGAGAATCGTGATTTCTCTAATCATTCATGTCTACTATGACACGTGGATTGTTCACGCGTGATTCGAATGAAAAATAGTGGAAGTTAACACATATATGTAGAATTTGGAGTGTCATGTATGATGATTCTATGAGATGAAGTGTGTCATTCAATGAAATGAAGTGTGTTAGTAGTGTTTGTTCATTAGTGTGTTGATTTCATGACCAATTTGCGATGAAACTTAATAAACACATTCTAAATTTCATAGCAACTAATGTGTGAGTCATTTTGAGTCATATAAATATCATTTAAAACTAAAATTTGGTGTTTCTTTTATGTTCGTTGCTGTTGGTACTAAAAACCCGATATCTGGTACTAAAACACCAAAAGTTGGTACTATCTTAACTCTAGGTCTGGTATAAATTTTTACAAATATTGACCAAAATTGAAGTAATCCATTTTTGTTGACCAAAAGCAGGTACTAATTGATTCAAAAAAGGTACTACGCAAAAGAAAAAGCGGTACTATTTTTGTCAAAACTGGTACCGTTTCAGTAATCGTGATTTCTTTAATCCTTCATGTCCACCATGCCACGTGGATCGTTCACGTGTGATTTGGTTGAGAAATAGTGGAAGTTAAAACATATAGGTAGAATTTGGAGTAGTCATGTATGATCATTCAATGGGATGAGGTGTCTTTTAATGAGATGAAGTGTATTAATAGTGGTTTTTCATGTATGTGTTGAGTTCGTGACCAATTTACGATTAAACTTAACTAAACTCATTTTAAATTTCATAAAAACTAATGTGAGAGTGATAATAGGTCATATAAACATCATTTCAGACCGAAATTCGATGTTTTTTTTATGTTCGATGGAGTTGGTACTGAAGACCCGATATCCGGTACTAGAACACCATATTGTAGTACTCTTACTCTAGGTCTGGCACCAATTTTGCAATATTAACCAAATTTGAAGTAATTATTTTTTTGTGCTTTCTACAAAGTAGGTATTAATTCATCAATAACTGGTACTACATAGAAGAAAAAGTGGTACTATTTGTGGAAAAATTGGTACCATTTTACGAAATTTGTTTTTTTTTTTTCAAATTTTTAGTTAAGATGAGTTGGTACTGAAGACCGATATCTGGTAAAAAAACAAACAGTTAAAAATTATAGTAAAATGTACATCGTATCATATTTAAGACAAACAGGTACCAGATTACGAATCATGATTTCTTTAATCTGTCATGTCTACCATGTCACATGAATCGTTCACGCATGGAGTGTTTGAATGATAGACGAATCTAAAATATATAGGTAAAAATTAGACTAGTCATGTTATATCGTTTAATGAGATGAAGTGTTTTAGTAATGTTTGTTCATTGATGTATTGAGTTCATGACCAATTTGCGATGAAACTTAATTAAACACATTCTAAAACTCATAGAAACTAATGTTTGAGTGGTTTTGAGTAATATAAACATAATTTAAGATCAAAATTTGGTAATTTTTTATGTTCGTTGGAGTTGGTACTAAAGACCCGATATTGGGTACCAAACAACCATTTAATGAGTATTGTCTAATTCTAGAACGGGTACTAATTTAACAAACATTTACCAAAATTAAAGTAATCTATTTCCATAGACCAAAGTAGGTATTAATTAATTAAAAAAATGTACTGAATACAAACATTATTGGTATTATTTACAAATGAGAATCCACCTGGGATTACAGCAAAGACCAAGGGATAAAAAAAAACCCAAAAAGAAGGAAAAGGCAAACCAAAAGAAAAGCTAGAAATATACAACCACCAAAAATAGACCATTGACAGTTCTTAATCTTGTGCAACTCTAAGGCCTCACTTATCGAAGCATCAGCAAGTGCTCCAGGAAGATCCTGTAGAGAAAAAGTTCATGAATAGAAGCATCACTTGAAAACCTTAGAGATATTGGCTAGAAGCTGAAGGCCAATTCACATTGAAACAACAAAATATAGCATCCAATTTACCTGTTTGTTAGCAAATAAGAGAACCACAACACCTTAGCAAATACATGAGGTACCCATTTTGGTGAAACAAAACTAGTAGCTTCAACGACAGACAAACTAGAAGATGCGAGCATTTTTATCAAGTCCACCTTCACATTAGTTGGCATAATTTCCTTCTCGTTTTGCAGCTCATCTCGTGGACCAACTTCAACTATCTTTACGAATTTAGGGATAGAACTCATCAACTGCAAATCAATATCATAAGTCATAACACCTAAAGCTGATACACTTGGCATGAATCTTAAACTGAAGGACTTCTTCAGTTATCCTCAAGTGCCTTATCACTTAAATCGAAAGTAACACCAAGAATCCTTTTTTTCTTTTTTCTTTCTTTTTTTTTTCTGGGAGAACATATGAGAATTAGAAATGAGCAAATTTTCAGTGAAACTCAATGTTGATGTATCAAAATTTTTCAGGCCAAAAAAGTTTTTGCTCTTTAGTACACTGCTAATACATATAAACTTTTCCTTACAGAAAATTGCACTGAGTACTCCCATAAACCAAGAAATTACCTTGTGTTTAATATCTATTGCTTGATGCTGGGAGCTGAAATGACAAGTTAGTGCACGAACAGTGCCAAATCCAACAAAATCAGGTTCTCGACCAAACAAAAAATTGAAGGATGACCAATTTGTCTCACTTTTCAATAAAGATGCTTCTTTTCCATTACCCTTGCTACATAGGAAATGCTTCTAATGTCATTCTCAAAAAAAGAAACATATAAACCCAATATCCTAGCATGTTCAAGATCCCATCACAAGTAACAATAACAGCATGTAGACGTGATTTGCATTCTCTTGTTCCACAAAAAAGCAAATTACAAAATCCAAGAGTAATTTGAAGGTGGCCCGAGAAGTACTAGAGAGGAGTAATTTTAACACTCATAAAAGGCATAACTCCAAACTTCATAAAGGAAAAGAGGGTTGCATCTTCAAATTTCACAAGACACAGTTTTTCAGTCAGAACTTAAAAATTCTTCAAATTAAAACTAAAAATCAAACAGGCCCATTAATTTCTTACAACTTTGGGAACTCCAACTTACCTAAATTGTTCCGGGCAACTGCGAGCATCGCCTCCATTATCAATGATTTCACCTCCCATACCACTACAAAGGGCCGGATAAACCCCTCAACCACTGCCGAGTGCCCCTCTCGAAACAGATCCGGCAAGCTGCCGTCGTATTTGACAAAAAGGTCCGTGTTCGGCGAAGAGGCTGAGAGATGCGAAGAGAGAGATTGAAGAAAGAGACTAATAAATTATCAAGTAAAATAAATGAATAATAATAATATTAGTATTTATATGGGGAGTTGAAAGGAAAGAGACAAATGTATTAAGGAGTGCAGAAGAAGTTTTAAAGTATTAGGGACTAACAAGGAATTTGAAATGTGCATTAGGGATTTATTAGGAAATACCCGTAATAATAATAATAATAATACAGGCACACTGCCCGGTCGTAATCACTATATAATTATTAAATATCAATTCATTGGGTCTAGTCTTATTTACGTACTATATGAATCAACCCAAGTTTTGAATGAATAGATAAAATTATGTAAAATTAACAAAATCTACTCCAATTCAATTCAAAGACATTAGGTCTCAACTTTGGTCTAAAATAGAATTAAGGGTAGACTGAGTCTCTTTTTTTTAGTTGTCACATCATCAGAACCAGTCTACTACTATTTGCATTGGTGAATATTTTAGCTGCCACATCATCAGCACCAGTCTATTTCTATTTGCATTGGTGAATATATTTTCTTAGACTGAGTCTATTTTTTTAAGTGGCATATAATTTTATGTGATTGAACCCAAAGCATTAAGGATGATCGAGGTGATATTTTTGGGATTCTGTTTGTCATAATTTTTTATGCTTTGAATGATATATGATTAAGTTTGAGTATCCTAATAAATGTTAATTAAACATAGTTATTTCCATAATATTAAATATTTTCCTTTATTGAATCAATCATTATTTATTTCATTAAACATAGTTATTTCCATAATATTAAATACTTTCTTTTATTGAATCAATCATTATTTATTTCATTCCATATTTTTACTCCATATTTACCATAATATTATTTTTTATTTCTGATTTTTCTATTACATATCTTTACTTAAATCAATCATTAATTTATTTCTCAATCTTTCTCTCTAGTATTCATATACTAGTAGAATATTTGTGTGTACATGGATTTTTGCTAAAATTATATATTTAAAATTAAAATTATTAAAAAAATATTTTAAATTTCAAATACTTTTTAAATAAATATATTAGTATTTATATTTAAATAACACTCATCGGCTTACCATCTTATTCTATAATATTTGTTTTTAAATTATTTCATTTAATAACTTTGTAGTTAAATTGATTTAAATAATTTTATTTTTTAATTAGTATTAATATGTAATTTAATTTTTATTATAAAGATAAGTATAATTACTTATTTATTGTGTAGGTACAATGTAGGTGTCAAATAGAACAGATTAAGGCATGATTAATTTGATATATTATGAATAAAAAACTGATGAAAAATAAAAATTTATCAAATTTTAAATCTATTTATAATTTAAGTTAGTAATTTTTTCATAATTTTAAAAGGAAGATGAGAAAAAAAAGAAAAATCTAGAAAAAAAAATATGATCACCTTCTTCTACTGCACTTTGAAGGTGCACGGGTACACCGTCAACTTCTGCATTAGTGCTTTTAAAAAGGACCATCTAGTATATTTATGGTTATTCGAAACTTAATTATTTTTGTATTGAGACTAAATTAAAAAATCATCCAAGTCAAAAAAGCGTGAAATTTATCGTATAGGATCTCGAAATATGCGAGTCTGCTTATATATAGGGAGTTTACTCATTTAGAAAATGAAATAATATAAAATTATTCTTTCAAAAATGATATTTGTTTAAAATTTAATTGTTAAGCTGTAAATCTAATCAAAATAAATAATTGATTATCAAAATTCTAAAAGTACATGTAAAGTAAAAAAAAAATATATAGTTTGACATTCAAATTCTAAAATATATACGAGTGTTTAGCTATTATGATTAATAAAAAATATAGTTTTACAATTTAATTAAAATAAAAATTATTTTAACTTAAAAAATAAAAGCTTTAATAATTTTTTATATATGTCTCCTAATTCAACACCCGTTAATATATGTGTATCTTAATAGCAAATATAATATTGTCTATTGTTAAATATTTAAAACTTTATACTTTTAGTAACACGATATTAACAGATTAACAAAGTACTATGATAATGAACATAAATTTCAATATCAACTATACTTATCAAACAATTATACTCAAGTCTTAACCTTTTAATAAACAGGAACTAAGCACATGCTCTGATAATATGAGATTTCGATACAATTTTCAAATATAATTTTGTGAGCGAATGATTAATTTCTCTTTTTCTTTATTTAAATTTATATTTTTAGCACTATTTTATTCCATATTTTGAAAACAACTCCTATACAACTAAATATAACAGTAAATTTTGTGTTTTGTATGTACATTAAATCGGATCAATGATGAATAACGTGGTATGATATTTTAATCAATGGGTCAGACTTAGATCAATAATAGCAATTAATATATTCAGAAAAAATGCAACTAATATAGGGTAAATTTAACTATACCTTAAGTTATCATCAATAAATTAAAATTATAATAAATTTCGTCTGAGGCGGTGAGAGCTGATTAGCTCAAGAAGTGAGAAGCAATTGAAAAGAGTGCTTCATGGCTTGTGACAAGACAACTGCGATACGGCTTGTGACAACTTATATACAGTTGGCACTACAGCCTCTTTTATATTGGGAAGCTGTCCCTTTTATCCAAGTTTCCAACCTCACCGCTACACATCATACTTTAGGACATAAAGCCAGCTGTGCGTGTTCTAATTTT